ATTCCTGGGAACCAAGGAGGCACCAAACATGGAGGAAGGTATAACTCAGGTCACAGCCTCAGTGGTGGGAAACTGCAGTTCACAGAGTGGTGAGTAGCTGCTGGGTGTGTAACAGATGAGAGTGGGAGATGAAGTGGTTAACTGCTTGAATTCCAGCCCCATGAGTCTAAACTCCACGCTCCACGTATGGCCAAGAAAACTGCTCTGTATTCCTCCAGGGCTGCCATTCAGAGACCTCAATGGAAATGGATTGTTCTGGAGTTGTGGAGTCCACAGTCTGCGTGTCGGCATACGGTGGCATTCTCTACAATTTGTCCTGGATGTTGGCCACAAATTTTTGAGCTTAGCTATGGCTTGCTGTGAGAGCTGCTCCAGAAAGATGAAGGTCATCACATTTGGTAGATGTTAGCCCTGAAGTGAAACAGTCGTTTTAGGAATTCTTTTCAAAAACCATTTATCTGATCAATAAACACAGCCCTTAGCTTAGGACTTCACACTTAGCAGGTACTTACTACCACATGCTTGCTGAATGAATGAAATAATGAGCACGGACGTAAAGGAGTGAGCAGTTAAATTCATTGCAAAATGGAGAATGTTCTGGAAAGCATGCACAGCAGGCTAGTAAACTAAGGCGACTGGATTTGATCCAGTCTCGATGAAAGTGGGTGGGTTAAAATGTGCCTCCCTTCTCTAATTGCCACATATTTTATCATAGCTGCATATTATATGTAGCCATTCCTACCACTGTATATTTAACCACTCCCGCACATCTTACTGACACTCTAAGCGTTTTATCTATTTTATCGATTATTACTATTTTTTAAAGATTTTATTTATTTATTTGAGAGAGAGAGAGCATACCAGAGGGAGCATGAGTAGCGGGGAGGGGCAGAGGGAGAGGGAGAAACGGGGCCACCCAGGCATCCCTATCTATTATTATTATTATTAATCATTGCATGTTGGATTGCTCTGTATATGTATATTCCAATCATAATAATAGTAGGAATAGTAATAGTAATAATAACTATTTCTACTACATGCAAAACATTGTGCTCGTTGCTTTATACACATCTTCCATAATTTTCATGTGTTAGGTAAAATTCAGATAATAATTTCACCTTAAAATTAAGATATTCTAAATTCATCCAAGATCGTATGGCTAAATAGTGAATGAATGAGAAGTCCCACCCAGATCTTCCTACTACTTGCTTTTTTTCAATCTGACCACGATTACTGTTAATAAGCATAAAAATATTGAAGGCACTTGGTATAATTATCTAATTTATCCTGCCTTGTAGTAGCTTCCAAAGGACATGAATCTGGCCTTTGAGAATGAGGAAGACTTAGCCATTGCATACTCTACATCAGAAGTAATAAATACACCATCAATCACGTAAGCATCAGTTCCACACCACTATCAGTCTATAATTTTCTTGATCTCTCTGGCTACAGGGCTCTCTCTTTCCTGGGAGGCTCGCTGGAATGTTCCTCCAGCGAGGGTTTTTCTAAAACCCCAATCGGACCCCGCCACTTCCCAGTTTAACTCCAGACTTGACCCTATATCTCCTCTACCAAGAAGAGCATGGTGTCTAGCTGGTCTTCCAACCCCTTCCCATTCTAATTCCAAGTTATTTGGGCAGCCGCAGGCCTGGCCACTGCTCCTAAACTGACAATCCTGGAGCCGTGGCAAGTTAACTAGAAATTTCAGAGGATCCCACTGCTTTGCTTTTGCACATTTTTCTTTCTGCCTGAAATGTCAACAAGGATCTCTTATTCATGTTATTTTATGGCTCACAGAATTTTTTCAAGGTCCACCAAGACAGGAAATGTATTTTTTTAAATCATTGTATCTCCATACCCAGTGTCTGGCACATAGTAGGTTTCAGTAAATATTTGCTCTGGATTAATTCAAGTTAAAAAAAAAAAACAAAAAACCGCATTTTCTGGGAAAAGTCCCTGAAGTCCAGGAAAAGTTGCTTCTTCCTGTGTGCGCCCTTGATATTCTGATTGCCACATTGTTATGCAATGAAATGATGTATTTCCATGCCTTTCTCTGGGGCTAGACTCTGAGCTCCTGGGTGGCAGAGACTCATATGTGGGTCCTTAACAACCAGCACAGGGCCTGGCTTATAGTAAGCCTGCATAGATTTCCTGGAATTGAAAATGTAATTCTAAAGCAATCACGTGAGCTGAGCAGGGCGGGTGTTATGCTTCTCATTTTACAGTTGAAGGAACAGGGACCCAGGGAGGAAAAAAGTCTTGACTCAATTTTCATTTAAAATCGGAGGCCCAGACGGGGCTGGGACAACGCCTCCCGACCCCTAGTTATAAAGCACTCCTGGTGGCCACTGAACAGAGGAGGCCAGTGTCTTTCTGATCCATCTGCAGAGGCTACTTCAGGCTGCTCCTGAGACCAGCACAAACACTTGAGTATCTTCAGGGGACAGAACTGGATTAAAGGACTCTGCTTAGCAGTAATGGTAATAGTCGGGGGGGAACCTGTGAATTCCCCTGGGGCCAGGGACCAAGTCCTAGGCAGGTTTGCCAGCTCTAAGATGGTGAGAGGTGCCAGGACCCATGAGGCCACTTCTTGACCTTCTTTTCAAACTCTGGCCCTGTGGTGACCTGCTGTATAGTCAGTGTCCTCTCTGGCCAATTTCCCAGGAACTTCTTTTTTTTTTTTTTTAAAGATTTTATTTGTTTATTTGACAGAGAGAGAGGG